GCTATCTCTGTCACACCTTCTTAAGTTATGTAGAAACCGGTAGAACGAGTCTTTTGCTTGCTCTCGCTCAGCTGTTTATACTGTTTGTCCTCCCTCTCTCTGCCTCCACACAGGTGGATGGCAACACAAAGCTGCTTTGACTCAGTGGAAAAATGTGACATAATGACAACGACGGCGAAAATCAAACTGCTTTAAATGGGATGTGGGTCTGAGTTTCCTTTTTTGTGGCTGCCAATTAAACTCCGCCCATGCAATGTGATTGTGAACACAGAAGCGTGCTCTCCCATTAAAACCGTGCTGAGAAATGCACTTTCGTGGGTGCGTGATTATGACAGTCACTGTACCTGTGGTCATCAGGGGGCAGCTTACTCTTGCTGGCGGTGGAATTCGAAACTGCCAGCGTGACTTCGTCGCAGATTTGCTCTGCCTGTTTAAAATGACAAAATGTAAGTGGCATCACTGGTAAAACCTGATGCAAATAGACCCTATGACTCATCCAGGACAACACTTGGGGAAACTCCTCGCGCCGTCAGCACTCACCTTCACCGTTTCACAGTTAAAGAAGTGAATGTCTGGCTTCTTCTGATCTTCACCTTGGCAGACTAACATAAGGAGGGATGGGAAGTGTTTTTCTGTGTTAACAGCTTCACAGCGGAAGATGGATCTGAAGGCGTAGCTCTCCAGCTCGTCCTGCAAGGGCAGATAGAAATGATGGTCATTGTGGATGCAAATATGTGTGGTATTTTACAGCTGCGCACATTTAAATCTCTTCATCATCCACTGAGATGCGCCTGCCCTCACCTGACTCTGTACGTCTCTGAGATAAATGCCCCCTGCTCCCACATCCAGGTACATCTGTTGACTCCATAGCTTTTTATTTTGAGCCAGGGAGGAAAGACGGTTCTGAGCTTCTTCAACGTTCCGCACTTCCCCATTCTGCAGCGAGAACGTCAGAAGGTGCTGCAAAGTAATGAGGAAGAATGAGCACATGAGGAAAAATGCACGATAAAAAACATCACTCAAGGGAAGGCACTCACTGTGACGATATGTCGAGTGATGTTTGTCATGTTTTTTCCACTCTGTCAGCTGGAGAATTGTAAGATAAAGCAGCTTTCCTAAAAAATCACAGACCTAGAAGAGGAAGCAGAATACCAGGACCACTCAGAAACACATTCTGGACAGAGTTACGAGTGACATTTGTAGATGGAGAGAGGAACGATGGTGTTGCTTTAACAATTTATCAGCAGCTCCTACTTCCTAAAGCTAAACAGACTAACTCACAAAAGAAATATCCTCATTCAAATGTGCCCTGCCCCTCCCCTTTTCCAGCTTACGTCTGTCTATCCCAGCTCTGCTTCAGTAACACAGGATTCTGGTGAGTGAGTGACTGAGCGAGCGAGCCGCCCGACCTGTCTGGTAACAGTTCAAAGTATGATACCAACCTCTCTGTTTCTCAGTGACCACTGAACAAGCGTCACCGGCATCAAGGACAGCAAACGCTTGGTATAACTCACATGGTGTCACTTAAAAACTCTGCCCACAAAAAAAATATCACTTAACCTCACATTTATGAGCACTCAGTGCCAGCCTGGTCTTGCACGAACATATAGTGTGGCATTTCAAAATGAACACTGGGACAGTGCGGTAAGCATGATGATTTGTGCACAAACTATAAGTAAAAGTACTGTTTTAAATCAAGGAAACATTTCTACATCTAAACAAAGCTTTACTTTGCATCCATCCAATATGTTTTTACAAAATATATTCTATGTGCGCAACTTAACTGTATAGATTTGACAGAAAGAGCTGTGGTCTTGTTGATGTTAGGTAAGAAGAGTAACACAATCATGTCAGGTTAAGTCAGAATTAAGTCAAGTGTCCATGGTGCTTTTGATTTTAGTACATTTTTATAAGCAAACCTTCAAAATCTGATCACAAATACTGAATTACTGGTAAATGTTTGGTTACACCTTCATAAATTACTATGAGTATCCAAGAAACCTATACAACATACAATAAAATGACTTACCATACTCATCTAAATGTATTTGAGAGTCAAATAATCAAAGACCTGAGATGTCAGAGACTGGAAATAGATGTCAAATCAGCTTACCGTAACTTAGTATACTTCCAGTGCCTGGATCTTGAGGTTAGCAGAAACCAAAACCTGTCTCGAGCCTTAGTGTGACTAGAGGTATCTTACTCACCCTGAGGTATGAAAGCCTTGACAAGCAGAGGTGTGTCACACTGTGGAGTCCCGCCCAGTATTTCACCCCACCTTAAAGATAAAAATATATATTTGTTTCTCTCTCCTGTACACCTACAAGTGCATTCCACACAGGGAAATGTAAAGGTTAAAATGTTGGAAGATAAAGTTGGTGAACGGTGACACAGAGTGAGTGGGTGAAAATAAATGCTCAGAGGCCTGAACTGAACCTAGTCGCTGTGCCACTGGAGTGGGCTGCCACGGAGAGTAACGGGGGGAAGGGAGGTCCATGCAAAGGTGCAGTGTGCAGGAAAATAAAACAAACCAGAGGTTGATTAGCTCAGATAATTTTTCATTGTCAGTACTTGAAGCAAATTGTGGGGTGGAAAGGTTTTTGGCTTCTGGGAGGAACATGCCAAAAGAGTTCGAGAAGGACAAATGAAACCTGTAGAGCTGCTGTTTCAGGACCCAAAGAAATCAGGCAATTGAGAAATCACTGACACAGTTCTGATGGGATCAAAGGGCCAAAAATCTTTATCTTTTGCTGTTATGGGAAATTTCTGATGAAGTCAGAATTTCTGCAAGTGAAGATTTCGGGAGTTATTTAGTGTGCTTAGCAAAGGGAGGGGAAGTAGAGCTGTGTATTCTGTTGATAGGTTATGCAGCTGGCAACTGTACATGTACATATTACAGAAGTTGTCATAAGACTCTATTCAAGCCCATTAAAAGTAGACCCGATGATTCAACAGAACCACCTATAGCAGCAGTAACCTGAAGTAATCCTTTTCTGTGTGACTTTATCGTTGTGGAGGAAATTCGGCCCACTTCTCTTTACAATGTTGCTTCACTTCACTGGAGTATTGAAATGAATTCACGTACAGCTTTTTAAGTTGCTGCCACAGCATTGCAATCAGGTCTGTACTTTGACTGGGTCATTACAACACCATGATTCTTTTCTTTTTCAGCCATTCTGTTGTAGATTTGTTGGTGTGCTTGGGTTTCATCGGCCTTAAATTAAAGTTTCTGTGCCGAGCTTTAGCTGCAAACTCAAATCATCACCCGTCCACCACCATGCTTGACAGCTGGTATGAGGTATTTGTGATGATATGCTTAGTTTCCTCCAGAAGGTGGTGCTGTGCATCCTGGCCAAACATCACCACTTTCATCTGTCCAAAGGATGTTGTTCCAGAAGTCTTGTGGTTTATTTAAATGCAACTTTAAAAAGAAGCCTTTCTCCACTGTGCAACTGTACTTTCATGAACTTCAACATTTAACATGCTAACCGAGACCTCTAGGGTTTGAGATGTAGCTCTTGGGTTTTTCTTTTCTTGGACAGTCTAACCTTGGGGTGAATTTGCTGTTATGTTCACTCCTGGGAAGGACTGGAGAAGCATTATTGTTCCACACCAGAAAACCGGAGAGGTCCTCCCACTTGCCGAGCAGCCGAGCGTCAAAAAATTGCATTTGATTAACAACACCTGCTGCTTTTTTACCATCTTATTTCCTGTGAAAAATGATAACCACGATGGCCGATTTCAATATTTCACATTTTTGGAATTTAATTAGAACATAAAGATTATTATTTCACACAATCGAAAGAAGTGCATGTGTGTGTGTGTGTGTGTGTGTGTGTGTGGTGGTTGGGTGATGCATGATTGTACAGTGTACATGTTTGATTTAAAGGGATGAGGTGGGTTTCTCAGAGAAACTCACAAGTGGGGTGTCATAATTCATAACAGTAATTGACAAGACAAGTCCCACTTTATCCTCCAATAGAGAGGTGGGGGCGGAGACAGTGAAGTTGGTGAGGTTGAAGCTCGCCTTTGGTTTATGGACAATTGAAAAACTATTTCAAGAACCTCTTCCATTACACGGACTTTGTTTGTATCACAAGGTATTTATCATTTATTAATTAATACGCCTAACTATTTCTAAACGCGTAGATTTGTAGTTTATGAGTTTATGAGTGATACTAGACAGCTCTATTTAAAACTTCCAAGCCGGCATACGTGGCACATTGTGTGCGTCTGTACGCGTGAGAAAAATGTCGCTCCTCGGTCGGAGTAGAATTTAAACCTAGTAACTATATAATCTGAACAATAACAATGCTGCTACAACCACTCACGGGCACGAAGTACTAATCCCAGTAGGCTGTAAAAGCCATGTTGAGACTGTTGCATCAGCCTCCGCCTCCTTTGTTTTCTTTTATTTTCTTATTTTGATAAAAGTGCGAAAACTGAGCAGAGACAAAAGATTTAGTGGTGGCAAACATAAACAACTTAACCTGGATAAAGTGGTATTTCCCCACGTGTTCGGATTTTAACCATCTACCTGGCATCATACATGAACACGTGTCAGTGGTGAGTTAAGGCTCTGCCTGTTATGTGCGCAATCGAGGCTCAAATCGCTAAAATCTAGGTGAAAGCTTTACCCACTGTGGGTGAAGTGGGTAAACAGTGGTGCATTATAGTTAATTGAAGTTAGACTAAATTAAAAGCCCAGTTTTAACTTTTTAACACTCCATAGACCGCGTGTACCATAATAATAAAAAAGAAAACATCATCAAATGTATTTGTAATTTCTACACGTCTTTAAAAAACTTTAATTATAAAATTCTTATTAAGTTTGTCATAGTTTAATATTTCTGATTTATTCGTTTGTTTATTTATTCATATTAACTTCCGTACTGTTGTGTATTTCATGATTTATTGCATTACAAGCGATGGTTTTGTCTCAATTTTACTTTGAAAGTTACACAAACACACAAATGGGAGTGGCTTCACGGCGTCGTGGCGCGAGACAGCGGAAGAACGCAGCTACGTCGTAGTAAACGGCTTAACAACGAAAATGCCGCGTTTATAACATAGTCAGCGGTTTTAGGTCTTACTTTAGTATTCAAGAATTTAATAATAGTGGTTTGAGAAATTTCTAGCATGTTACATTAAAGAAGAAATATAGAAACAGAACAATAACTGAGCTCGATGTTGTTTTAGTAATAGTTCAGCAGCGACACGTGGCCGTTTCCTCTAACCAAAAGGAGGGATAAAGGATTATCGTCGCTGCTCTTCGTTACTTGTCGCTTTTTCTACCTCTTCGTTGACTGCACTCGCTGCTTGCCAGGTGAGTTTGGCTTCATGTTAATTGTCAGCTCTCCAACAGCTGAGTCCAGTCAAATGGTCGAGGATGCTCTTAGCCATGATGCCATTGCATCAGCCCATTTACCGCGCAAAGTCACTAGAAGGGACTATTTTTGGGGTGCTTTAAGTGTTATTGAGAGTAACTGTAAGTGATATGGTGTATATAATTGGCGCTTGTGTGAAGAATGATTTTATACTTGGGTTACCAGGAAAATTCATTCATCGTCTGGCGGCATAGCGGGTAACAGACAGTACAGTGCCCCATGCAACGAAGCCTAGTCCTGCCATTGTTATGGCCTAAATATTAGTAACACCTCAAGTTGTAGCATGTTTCAGTCCAGTGTTCTTTGAGTGCAGATCCCAAAATCATAATGAACAACTGCGTAAAAAATGTAAAATAAACCTGGAAATGGTAAAATTAAGGAAGTTGTTTTTTTAAAAATGGTTTTTACTGATGTGGAAACCGAGAATCCACACAGACACTACCACATAGGCTAGATTCCTTTTTAGGCTTAAACGCCAAGGTGACAATCATACGCTACCTAGGACTCTCCATTAGTTTGCAGAACTGAGGAAGCATCTTGAGTGAGGTGATGGTGATGAAACATCTTTATGAATCTACAAAGATATCTAGTCGCCTTCAACTTAAGCTACTGTGACCTGGATGTCCAAGCACCTGTACAGACAGACTTCTTTGTGGTGTCTGTATGTGAGCAGAACCTTGGGAAAAAGTGTTGATTTGCATTATTAATCTGTTTGAAAAGTTTTAAAATCTTTCATTTTGCTCCCTTCAATTTCAGATGGAGAAGCAGCCCTTGCCAGCTGATGATGACAGGACAGAAGCCACAGAAGTTGATGGGCTCACTGGAGAGAGCAGCCCGCAGGAGACGTCTGAGCCAGACGCCCGAGCCGGATGGAACAGTAAAATAGAGTACTTTTTGGCTCAAGTGGGATTCAGCGTTGGACTCGGCAATGTCTGGAGGTTTCCGTATTTGTGTCACCAGAACGGAGGAGGTAATCGTCTGCAACGCTTAACCACAGTAGATCGCTGCCACGCACTGACTTCCTTGAAGGTTCAAGAGATCAAACGTAGTCATTTTAGGGAGAGGATGTGCAGCTTCTACTCTGCTCAGTGAAGCAGGCAAACACATGTGAAGAACGTTCACTGTTAAATGCACTCTTTTTGTTCTTCACTGTCTTTATTAGATTGTGTTTCCGTGTCTTAAATGAACACAAAACACGTTAAAATCACACCACACTACTAAAGTACAGGTCATGTGACGTGTGGCATTTCACATCACTTTGCCCCTATTTGGAAAAGTTCACTTTAAGTTACCAACAATAAGGGAGTAAAGCTGTATCAGAAGTGGGTGGCTGTGTGGCAGAGGATATTGTTTTCAGCTCCTGGTATACGCCTCTCCACGTAGGAACTTTTAAAATATTATTTTGTAATGATATTCTTGCTTTCCCTCAGAAACTAATAAACAAAGTAACTGTCTTTGCATTACTGGACAAGCATGTGATTAGACCAACACCAGAAATGAAACAGTGGAGTTGTGTGTTTGCAGTCTAATCTGTATAAGCCAAACTGGTGTTGGTGGAGGAAGCACTCAGAGCTGTCGTGCTGTCGTGCTAGTATAAACATCTGCTTCTCCTTTGCTAACTGAGAGTCATTCTCTTCCCAGGAGCCTTTCTCCTGCTGTACATCCTGCTGATGCTGATTGTGGGCATCCCCTTGTTCTTCCTGGAGTTGGCAGCCGGTCAAGCCATCCGACAGGGCAGCATCGGAGTATGGAAATATATCTCACCCAGGCTCTCTGGCATTGGTTACTCCAGCTGTGTGGTAAGATAACAACTGTTGAATAATTAACCCTCCTCACTTCCTCTTCCTAACACTATCAGTTTGGGGCTGCGCGATATACAGATGTCTTTTTGTGCAGGAAGTTTTTATGAAGGAAAAAGTACTGTTTATGTATTAAAAGTTGTTTGGATAGAGTGGTATACCAAATTTGTTATTTGTTATCAAATAATTGTATTAGTCTGTCAGGGCCACATTCTCTTCTCCATCTTGAATGTCAGGACAGTTGTAGTTTATGAGAACAGGACTTTCTCTTTCATTCTGTACGGCCTACAGCAATGCGCATACTTTCTTCTTCTCTGGTTTTAACGTATTATCTTGTTTTCAACTGTTCTCAGGTTTGTTTCTTTGTGGCTCTCTACTACAATGTGATCCTTGCATGGAGTCTTTTCTATCTCGGGAACTCATTCCAGCACCCATTACCTTGGGAGAAGTGCCCAGAACAGGGGAATGTAACAGGTAAACGCGGCGCATTAAGGTTCAAAACTCACAAAGTTGTGAGCATGAGTGGTGTCTAATGTAAGTGTTGTAATTTGATGTGTACTTTTCCTTTTCTCACCAGTAAAGGAATGTATCAAGAGTTCTCCCACGTCGTATTTCTGGTACCGCAAAGCTCTGGATATCACAGATTCAATCGATGAGACGGGCTCTTTCAACACTTACATCGTCTGCTGTCTGCTGGCAGCCTGGACCATCGTGTGTCTGGGGATGTTCAAGGGTATCAAGACGTCTGTAAAGGTACCTGTCCGTTCTTATTGTGTCCATTTGTTATAGCGAAGCACCTTTATTATATCTTTATTATATATATAAGTCTCTTCTTCAAACGTCTCAGTGTTAAATGACTGATGAGTGTGTTTATCCACCTTGTAATATACACACTGGTGTTGTGTGAATCACATTTAAAGGAAAAACTGGTGACTCCATTAGAAATAATGCTGGAACAGGTTTATTTGGTAGCTTTAAAGAAAATAACTGTTTTGGAAATGAAATATTTATTCTAGTGTTTACTCAGGAATAAGCTGATTAGAAAATAACTAATATAACAAAAATAACAAAAGACAAGTCCTTCATTTGTCTTGCTGAGTAACAGTGACATGCAGCGCTGCGTGCTGTTTACGTCTCTCAGTTGGGTTAAATCCCTGTCATGTGTTGGATTTCAGGGTTACTCTGAGTGCCTGAATCTGTGGAATGCGTGGCTTACGTGTCGGCTGACCTCAAATGGCAAAAACTATATCACATATTTTAATATTTTTGTAAATTTTAATTCATGGTTCATACCGTGGTGTTTGTTTCCCTTAATGCATTAAACAGTCTTTTCTCTTTGGTGCTGTACACCACAATGGGGGACAAACATTAAAAAAAAAAGGATTATGTGGTTCAAGTCCAAGAATTTTGTCTTGCCTACAGTAAACACATGATGGGGATGATATATTTTGCTGTATACTGTGTTTTGATGCTAACGTCACTCGCTCACTCACTGAGCTCATATCAGATGATTCCTGCTGTTTCTATCACAAGAGCCATATGTTTTTGGTGTGATAAGCACAGGCAGGCAGCCCAGTTAAAACTTGTGGTCTTAATAGGACAAATTTGTTGGCACATTCTCACACCATTATCCTCTTTCTTTACTGCATTGGTATTTAAAATTCTGTTTTGCTTTTTTGTAGAGATGGCACGATACCACTTTTTTATGTCCGATACCGATATCATAAATTTGGATATCTGCCGATACCGATATGAATCCGATATAGTGTTTTTTAATCAACAAAACTGTTTTTTAAATATCTTGCTGCATTTTGTATAAGTTCATACTCAAGTTTAAAACAACAACAACACTAAAGCTATTCTGTTATACCTGTATGCAAAGAAAAATATTTCATAGTTCAGCAATACTGATCAATCTAATAAACTTAAACCTACACCATCCTCCCTATTCTGGTATTTTAAAGAGTACTTAGTGTAAATATTAAGCAACCTAACTAATAG